AATTTGTTTTTGACTTAGAAAATTTAAAGCCGTTTTCAAGACACCATTTATTTATTTTATTTAAACACAACTGCAATTGCCGTTCAATAGTATGCATATTTTTACCACGACAGGAAACATTAAAATCATCAACAAATAACGATCCATCGATTGAATCGTTTAAAACTTTTGATAAACTATTTATCTTTATACTAAATAGTGTGACAGACAAAATACTGCCTTGTGGGACACCCTGATCCTGATTGTAATGATCAGACAGGGTAGAACCCACGTGGACTTGAAATTTTCTGTCCCATAAAAAGTTGGCTATAAATTGAGGCAAACGGCCTCGCTATCCGAAGCCATGTAAATCTGTTAAAATGCCATATTTCCACGTTGTGACATATGCCTTTTCAAGATCAAAAAAGATAAACACAGCGTGTTGTTTATTTATGAGAGCGTTTTTAACCAACGATTCCAAACGTACTAAGTGATCGACAGTACTTCTGTTTTTACGGAAACCACATTGTATATCTGTTATGAGGTTATTTGTTTCCAAGTACCAAACAAGTCGATTATAAATCATGCGTTCCATGGTTTTGCAAACACAGCTAGTGAGAGAAATTGGTCGATAATTCGAAGGATCCGTATGATCACGTCCAGGTTTAGGGATCGGGACAATTAAAGCATCACGCCATGAAGAAGGAAACTCTCCAGAAGTCCAAATATCGTCAAAGATATTCAAAAGGGTCTCTAAACCTGATTCTGGTAAATGCTTCAGCAGTTGATAATGAATGTTATCAGATCCTGTAGCAGTATCGTGGGCCTGGTCAAGAGCAGTATGGAGCTCATGAGTCGAAAACACCTCGTTATAATCTTCCCCATTATCTGAAGTAAAATTAATAGGCTTCTTTTCTTGCTGTTTTTGATACTGTTGGAAGTGAGGTACATAATTTGAGGAAGAAGAATGTTGTGCCAGTGTTTCGCCAAGTTTATTTTCAATATCAGATTTATTAGTTAATAACTGATCACCGTCTTTGAGATGGATCATATTCCATACCTTAGAAATTGGCGTACGTGAATTAATTTTCGATACATAGTTTCGCCAAGATTGACGTTTATTTTGTTTAAAAGTACGCCGTGCCTTAGCGTTGAAAATTTTAAATTTGTTCAAGTTATGGACCATAGGATGGCGACGGAAGTAATGTTCAGCCTCTTCCCGTGCCTTGCGAGCCTGTTTGCATTCAGCATTCAACCAAGGTTTTCGTATTTGCGGAGGACTTTTGGATACACTCGTCAGCTATGTTGTTTAGTTCATCAGAAAATAATTTTATTGCATCAGGAACATTAATAAAAAGTTCTGGTTTAAGTTTGTCAGTGCAGAGAGTTTCATATAAAGGCCAGGTAGCCATTTTAAAATTCCATCTTGATGATGGAGGAACGTCAGATGGGTTCACGGGTTTTAATAGTGTTGGGAAATGGTCACTTCCACAGAGGTCATCGTGGACAGACCATTCAAATTCACTCAATAGGTCGGAGTCTATAATCGACAAATCCAGAGCAGAATATGTTCCTGTGCCAGGATGTAAATATGTCTTCGAACCGTCATAATGCATAAATCATTATTTGAGATGAAATCCTCCAGTAATTTACCTTCGGTGTTTGTATTAGTACCACCCCATAGTGGGTTATGGCCATTTAAATCACCCACGATTAAACAGGGTTTAGGTAGTTGATCATAAAGAGCTTGTAGGTCAGTTATCTGAACAGCAGATGAAGGAGGAATATACAATGAACAGAGAGTAAATGTAACTTGTAATGTAAGTCGCACTGCCACGGCTTGGAGATTGGTTTTAATTGTGACTTGGTTATGGACAACATTATTCCTGACCAGGATAGATGATCCACCAGTAGCCCTATCGCCCGGAGGAGAAAAATAGTGGAATGCATTAAAATGACGTAGGTCAAAATTATCTGTCTGCTTTAGATAAGTTTCCTGAATGCAGAATATCGACTGATTAAAATCTTGGACTAATAGATGTAAATCGTTTAAAGTAGTCCTGAGTCCTCTACAATTCCATTGAATTATGGGAGAAGACATTACTTTTTCCGCGGAGGATAGACTGGTGATCTACCCCTCACCTTCCTTGAGGGCGACAAGCTATGTGGCCTACCTTAAGTATGGTCGGACACATCCATGTCCTCAAGGGATCCAAACTTGTTATAAAGCTGGACCTGATTGTTTGATCCCTTTAGGGTTCTGTTATTTGGATTCATTTTGGACATGTCATTGTTAGGTTTTGATTTACCTTTCACAGTTGTGTCTGATTTAGAAGTTTGCTTCTGAGATGGAGATGTATCCTTCTCAGAAGATACCTTGGATTGAAAGACACTTTTAGAGGAAGTCACAGTTTGTGAAGCGGAGGTGACCTGTGAGGGCTTCTCCTGGATCTCAGCAGAGAGCAAGGTAGGAGCAGAAGTCATAGCCCACGTGTAATCTGTCTGGCAGCCTACTGAAGAACATGAAGCTTGCTTTGGTTTAGAAGCCTGAACTGAAGCAGATACTGTGGCAGCATAAGTCGGGCCGGAATGTTCTTGTGCAAGAACAGTCTTCTTTGCTTCTAAGAATGAAATAGTTTGTTCATGTTTCACTTTCGATATTTTGGATTGTAGTTTCCAGGTAGGGCATTCCTTAGATGAGGAAGGGTGAGAACCAGAACAGTTAACGCAAACAGGAGGTTTATCGCAGAGATTGCTGTCTCCACATGTTCCAGCACATCGGTGGCATGCAGCTGGATTATGGCAAGACCTGGAACCGTGTCCATACTTCTGACAGGTATAGCACCTTAAGGGGTTAGGGATATATGTATCTACCCTCAAGGTACAATACCCTGCTTTCAACGACTTGGGATGTACTGGCAGACAAAACGAGAACAAATATGTGTTGGTATTGACGGTCTCGTTATTCCGTTTTGCTGTGAATCGTTTGACATGAGTGACACCTTGTGAATGTAATTCTGAGACAATGTCACTTTCACTCATGTCGGAAAGGCAACGTCCAATATCACGGACGATGCCCTTACTGTTGTTCAAGGTCCTGTGAGGGGACACCTCCACAGGAACATTTGCTAAAGATTTTGTTGATAGCAGAATTTGTGATTGAATGATTTTCCGACATTCAATTAACGGTGAGCCAGATCGTAGTTTTTTAATCACTTTTACTTCTCCTGCCAATCCTTCAATATCTTTCGCTACAGCAAAAGGATTTAATTTTAGAGCGCCACCATCCGGTGCTGACATCACAAGGAAACGAAACCAAGTGTCTGTGTTTGAGAGAACTGCAGGAGCCTCATCCTCCGAAGAAACCGAACCATCTGATTCGTAAGAACGTTTTTTAAGTGGGGGTGCCATGGTTGATTTATATATGTTTCGCCCTCCTAGCTCCCCACCCACCACGGAGTGTCAACAAGGACGATGTCTTATGCCTGTGGGTCTCCAACAGACGACACCAGGGATACCAGGAGGGTATACTCAAGCAAGTATATATCTTAAAAAAGATTGGCCCTTCAGCCACCGCCTTCTGAGCAATGCTGACTCTATGCAATGATAGAATTGATTACTTTCAGTGAAAAAAGTCACAAAGTTCAATGTAATAGAGCCAAGACCCAAAACTAATAATTTCAAAATCGTCAAATTTGTGCAAATGCAATATACTGCACAGGGCTCGGCTTGACCAGCCGATTGATTGAACCGGGCCAGTTCAACCACCCGTCTAGGTGAAGTAAGGGGCGAAGTGGTGTGTTGGGCAAAGGAACACTGTTCCTGGAACCAGTGCCCTCAACCACCAGAATCCCGTCCTCCACCGACACAGGGGCGCACCCCACGGCAAACGGGTTGGTGGACAAAATATCCCCCGGGGTCGACAACGGGGGGTTGAAGGGTGCTTAGCGTGACCCAGCACCCATCACGAGGAGGTAGCCCTTCATGGGTGCAAGTTTTCTAAGTCAAAAACAAATTGCATACATTTCTGCCGTAAATCATTCTGAACATCTCCTGTTGACAGTCTCTACGTCGAGGCAGATGAACCATCTCTTACCCAACGCCGTATAAATTACCATTACAATATATTACCAAACTATATTCTAACGAGTCTAATCCTGCATTTCACTGTATCTTTAATCCTCTTTATGAGGATTTGTACAACAATAAATCTTCTCTTGTTCCGCTTCTTGGGCTCAGGATTAAGCCATTAATTACTGCCGGCATTGAGCTGGAAAATATATCTCCTTCCCATCTTCTTTCTTCTCCTCCTTGGCAACTGGATAGGCCACAAGTCGAGCTAACACTCACTAAATTTATTAAAATCAGAAACTAATGACTTATAATATATACAAGAATATAATCAAGTAAATATAATACGTATAGATTCTATTTACAGATGGGTCCAAACATTGTGGCGCAGTGGCTTGTGTCACTGTCACTGGGTCCAAAGCAATATCTTCCGGATTACCCAATGACAGTTTAATTTTCACAGCAGAAGCAAACGCAATACTAACAGCTCTTAAATATATAAATAGACACCCTAAATATAAACAATATATAATATTTTCTGACTCTCTATCTTGCCTTTAGGCTATTAGACATCTTTCTTGTAAACATCCACTTTTATTAGAAATTATGGAATTATATAATGATCTTGCAACTGGCCAATACGACATCGTCCTCTCTTGGTTACACAGCCACGTTGGCATTTCTGGGAATACAATGGCCGATCTTGCTGCCAGGGCAGCAATCAACAAATCTGTGACACCACTTCTTAGTCCATACTCTGATTACAAAGCTAGCATTAGAACCTACATCCGTGATCTGATGCAGAAGAAGTTGGACACCCAAGTAGGTATCAATACATTAAATGCAATAAAACCTTATACTTGTTACACCTACTTGGGTTGTCAGTCCAGATTTGAGGAGGTCATCATGCGTCGATGTTGTATTGGCCACACAAGATATACACGTGAATAACTATCGAAGGGTGAAGATCCTCCGTTTTGCATCCCTTGTGATGAAAGAATCACGGTCAAGCATGTCTTGCTTGACTTTTGAATATTCCCTCACAAGGGGTAACTATTTTAAATCAGGAACTATGCAGGATCGTTTTAATAGTATCAGTTCTCATTTAATTATTGCATTTTTAAAAGAATTACATTTGTTAAATAGGTAAGTATTTGAAGATTGGAAGTTTGAATTAGTAACTAAGATTGTTAGTGGCTGTATCCTAAAGGGGAGTTAAAGTACTGTAACCTCCTGAGAGGGCACTTAAGTCCCAAAACATTCAAGGTAAATTTAAACTTTCAATTTTTTTAATCGTATAATATATGTAATTTTAATGTATGACTAGATGTATCTTAATTGCTGACAGCTGAGGGGATGATGTAAATCCAGCTAGGGCCCATGCAGGAAGCAAATGTTCTGTAAGTCCCCATGGTCCCTAATATGATGATCTACCTTCAGTTGTTGTCTATAGCCGTTTTTTATGTTGTATTGTCATTTATAGGTAAAATATTTTAGATTTAATTTCTAGTCTTAAATTTATTGCTATGATATTCCAGTTTTTGTTTGTTTGTTTTTTTTGGTTTTTACTGTCCTTCGTCGACAGGTGTAAAAAATGTAATTGTGTTTATTGTTAATTTATATCTTTTAAAGTCACAATATGGGTGAAATATTGCTGATGTGATCATAAATTTTAACTCACTCACTCACTGACTCACTCACTCCAAGTACCAAACAAGTCGGTTATTTATTATACGTTCCGTGGTTTTGCAAACACAGCTAGTTAGAAAAGTCGCTCAATAATTGGACGGATCCGTGATGATCATGTCCAGGTTTAGGTTTTGGTACTGCTATAGCGTCACGCCATGAGGAAGGAAATTTTCCACATGTCCAAGTATCATCAAAAATATTCAAAAGGGTCTCTAAACATGATTCCGGTAAATGCTTCAGAAGTTGATAATGAATGTTATCAGCTCCTTAAGCAGTATCGTGAGCTTGGCCAAGAACAGTATGAAGTTCATGAATAGAAAATATTTCATTGTAATCTTCCTCATTATCTCCATTGAAATTAATAATTTTCTTTTCCTGTTGTTTTTGTATATTGTTGGAATTTAGCTACATAATCCCATGAGGAAGAGTGTTTGGCCAAGGATTCTCCAAGTTTATTTACAATATCAAATTTACTAGTTAATAATTCGCCTCCGTCTTTGAGATGCTTGATGCCAGAGTGAGAGCCCTTACCTTTTATTTTCTGGATCATGTTCCATACCTTTGATATCGGCATACGGGAATTTATTTTGATACATAATTTCGCCAGAATTGACGTTTACAGTTCTTGAAGGTACGCCCTGCCTTAGCATTTAAAATTTTGAATGTACTCAAATTATGGACCATAGGATGGCGACGGAAATAATTCTCAGGCTTCTCCCGTGCCTTCCCTGCTTGTCCATTAAGGCAGGCTATTTTAACATCGGAGTGGGGGTGTATGTCCCCAATCCACTGCGGTGTTACAATTGTCAGAAATTTGGACATGGTTCCAAATTCTGCAATCGTCCATCTCTATGCCATCGTTGTGGAGGGAACCATGAAAGCTCTGGCTGCAAAGCAGAAGTGAACTGTGTTAATTGTAATGGTCAACATGACGCATCTTCCAAATCTTGTCCTTCCTGGATATATGAAAAGGATGTTTTGACTGTAAAATATCAAAACAATATTTCTTTTCCAGATGCTGAAAAGGTTGTCGCTAGCCGGCTACCTCCCTCAACACAAATCTATGCTGCTGCTGTTTCCCGCACTTCCTCTACTAGATCAATTGAATGTCAAACTGACTTGACATGGGCGAAAACGGAACACACTGAGCCTATTACCAAAGCATCTAACAGTCAGACGAATAATTCAGACATTCAACAATGTGCCACTTCTCCAGCGTCTCAATCTACACCAGCTACTGCAACAACAGCTCCAATAAAAGTATCAAGCGAAGTGTCAAAAAATCAAAAGGAAAAACAAAATAAGAAAATTAAAACTAAGATTGCCACTCCTACTGAAACATCAGTAGATCTACACAACTTTTTTGACCCTCTCGAGTTGGATTTTACTCCATCTTCAGAACATATGAGTAGTAATAACTACTCTTCACGTTCACGTGAGCGATCACCTATACACCCACCATGAGCCATTCCAGTCTTCTTCAATGGAACTGCAGAGGACTTGGACAAAATTTCAATGAACTGCAGTTATTAACAACAGATATACACCCATCAGCTATTTGTTTACAGGAAACGTACCTTAAACAAACCTATAATTGTGATGTAAGACGCTATCATTCTTTTCATTCTTTTTCTCCACCGGGTAATAAGGCTACCGGTGGTGCTTCTGTTCTGGTGCGACAGGTTGTTATTTATAGTCCGGTTGCCCTGACCACAAACCTCTAAGCTGCTGCAGTTCGTCTTACACTGCAAATTACGTTCACACTTTGTTCCTTATACCTTCCGCCTTCTTCAAATATTCAGAAGCTTGAACTCCAAAAATTGTGCGAACAGCTCCCTAAACCCTTTATCATCATGGGCGACCTAAATGGACATAATCCGTTATGGGGAAGTTCAAATATTAATCAAAAAGGAGTGCGTGATCGAGGTTTTCATATCTGATAACGGCCTTTGCATCTTTAATGATGACTCAAAAACATACTTACATCCTGGTACAGGTGCATATTCATCACTAGATCTGTCACTTGCAGATTCAACTTTGTTGAGTGAATTCACATTGTCAGTCCACGATGACCTGTGTGGAAGTGACCACTTTCCAACTATTTTGAAACCTGTGTCATCACGATGGAATTTTAAAAAAGCTGACTGGCATTTATTTGACACTCTTTGCACTAACAAATTGAAACCTGAACTTTTCATGGGCACCCCCGATTCCATTAAATGTTTCTCTGATGAACTAAATATAATTCCTGATGAATGTATTCCCAAGTCCTCTGCTGTTGCTCACATACGTAAACCATGGTTTGATGGCAACTGCAACCAAGCAAGAAAGGCACGGGAAAAGGCTGAACACTATTTCCGTCGCCATCCTATGGTCCATAATCTCAATAAATTCAAAACTTTAAATGCCAAAGCTAGGTGTACTTTCAAACAAAGTAAACGGCAATTTTGGCGAAATTATGTATCAAAATTCAATTCACGTACGCCCATGTCCAAGGTATGGAATATGGTAAAAAAAATCAAAGGGAAAGGCTCTAAACCTGGCATCCACCACCTTAAGCATGGAAATGAATGATTAACAGATACTTCAGATATTGCAAATAAACTAGGTGAAACTTTGGCTAAGCACTCTTCCTCCTCTAACTATGTACCAGAATTTCAAAAATATCAACAGCAACAAGACAAGAAACCTATTAATTTCAACACGGACAATGGGGAAGACTATAAAGACTTATTTTCTATTCATGAGCTTCATAAAGATCTTGACCAAGGTCACGATACTGCTGCAGGAACTGATAACATACATTATAAACTCCTGAAGCACTTACCAGAATCTTTATTAGAGACACTTTTACATATTTTTGATACTATTTGGACATCCGGGGAATTTCCTTCTGCATGGCGTGATGCTATAATTATTCCAATTCCTAAACCTGGACGTGATCATACTGATCCTTCTAATTATCGACCAATTTCACTTACTAGCTGAGTTTGCAAAACCATGGAACGCATGATCAATAATCGATTAGTTCGGTACTTGGAAACAATAACCTTATAACTGATATACAATGTGGTTTCCATAAAAACAGAAGTACAACTGATTTTTTAGTGCAATTGGAATCTTTTGTTAAAAATGCCATAATTCATAAAAAAAACATGCAGTGTCGATCTTTTTCGATCCAGAAAAAGCATACGATACTACGTGGAAACATGGTATCTTAAGAGATTTACATGATTTTGGATTACGAGGCCGTTTGCCTAAATTCATATCCAACTTTTTGCATGACAGACACTTTCAAGTCCGAGTGGGTTCTACCTTGTCTGACCATTATAATCAAGATCAGGGTGTCCCACAAGGCAGTATTTTGTCTGTCACACTGTTTAGTATTAAGATAGACAGTTTATCCAAGGTTTTAAATGATTCAATAGATGGATCACTTTTTGTGGATGATTTAACTATTTCTTGTCGCGGTAAAAAAATGCATACTATTGAACGGCAACTGCAGTTGTGTTTAAAAAAGATAGATAAATGGTGTCTCGAAAATGGCTTTAAATTTTCTAAATCCAAAACTACTTGTTTACATATCTGCCGTAAATACAAACCGCATAAGGACCCACAACTATCTCTAAATGGCACACCCATCAAAGTTTTAAAGGAGGCCAAGTTTTTGGGTATTATTATTGACTCACACCTAACGTTTCTACCACATATTAAAACCCTCAAAACTAAACGCCTGAAGGCACTTGACTTGTTGAAATTCGTTTCAGATTCAAAGTGGGGAAGGGATCAAGCTACCCTCCTACATCTATATCGATCACTGGTACGTTCCAAACTTGATTATGGCTCCATCGTTTATGGTGGAGCCTGCAAAAGCAACCTCAACCTATTAGATTCTGTCCACCACCAAGGTCTAAGACTTTGTCTTGTGTCGTTTACTTCTCCTGTTGACAGTCTCTACGCCGAGGCAGATGAGCCATCTCTTACACAACACCGTATAAAATTGTCCTTGCAGTATGTTACAAAATTATATTCTAAGGAGTCAAATCCTGCGTTTAACTGTGTTTTTAATCCTCTTTATGATGATCTATACAACAAAAACCTTCTCTTGTTTCGCCTCTTGGTTTGAGAATTAAACCATTCATTTCTGCTGCCGGCATTGAGCTGGAGAATATATCTCCTTCCCGTCTACTTTCTTCTCCTCCTTGGCAACTGGTGAGGCCTGAAGTGGACCTAACTCTGACAAATGTGTTTGTTAAAGATTATTAAGATGCTGGTGGAGGAATGTGTTTGATAAAGATCATTTCGCTGCAGGTGGAGGAATGTGTGTGTTAGAGATTATTTACGTTCAGGTGGAGGAATATGGATGTTAAATAGTATTTAGATGCAGGTGGATGACTGTGTTTGATAAAGATTATTTAGATGCTGGTGGAGGAATGTGTTTGATAAAGATCATTTCGCTGCAGGAGGAGGAATGTGTGTGTTAGAGATTATTTACCTTCAGGTGGATGAATGTGTGTGTTGAAGATTATTTAGCTCTAGTTGGAGGAATGTGTTTCATAAAGATCATTTAGCTGCAGGTGGAAGAATGTGTGTGTTAAAGATTATTTAGATGCTGGTTTAGGAATGTGTTTGATAAAGGTCATTATCTGCAGGTGGAAGAATGTGTTTGATAAAGATTATTTACCTACAGGTGGATGAATGTGTGTGTTAGAGATCATTTAGTTGCAGGTTGAGGAATGTGTGTGGTAAAGATTATTTCGATGCTGGAGGAGGAATGTGAATGATAAAGATAATTTAGCTGCAGGTGGATGAATCTGTGTGTTAAAGAGTATTTAGATGCAGGTGGATGAATGTGTGTGTTAAAGAGTATTTAGATGTAGGTGGATGAATGTGTGTGTTAAAGAGTATTTAGATGCAGGTGGAGGAATGTGTGTGTTAAAGAGTATTTAGATGCAAGCGGATGAATGTGTGTGCTAAAGAGTGTTGAGATGCAGGTGGATGAATGTGTTTGATAAAGATCATTTAGCTGTAGGTAGATGAATGTGTTTGATAAAAAATATTTAGATGCTGGTGGAGGAATGTGTTTTGATAAAGATACTTTAGCTGCAGGTGGAAGGATGTGTGTGTTAAAGGTTATTAAGATGCTGTAAAGAGATCTGTAGCTAATGAATTGCAATATAAACAAGAATATAAGCAATTAACAAATAAATATAATACGTAAAAATCCTTATTTACAGATGGGTCCAAGGATGGTGGCATGTGCCACTGTCATTGGATCCCGAACAATATCTTCTCGACTACCAAATAACAGCTCTATTTTCACAGCAGAAGCTTACGCCATATTAATAGCTCTTAAATATATTAATCAACACCGTAAATATAAACAATACATAATCTTTTCCGATTCTCTTTCGTGTCTTCAGGCTATTAAAAATCTTTCTTGTAAACATCCACTTTTATTAGAAATTATTGAATTGTATAATGAGGTTGCAACTGGCCAATGCGACATCGTCTTTTATTTGTTACCCAGCCACGTTGGCATTTCTGGGAATACCATGGCCGATCTTGCTGCTAAGGCAGCACTCAACAAATCTGTGACACCACTTCTTATTCCTTACTCTGATTATAAAGCTAGCATTAAAACTTACATCCGTGATCTGATGCAGAAGAAGTGGGACACTCAAGTAGGTCTTAATAAATTACATGCGATAAAACCCTATATTGGTTACACCTACTTGGGTTGTCAGTCCAGATTTGAACAGGTCATCATACGACGATGTTGTATTGGCCACACAAGATATACTCATGAGTACCTATTAAAAGGTGAGGATCCTCCATTTTGCATCCCTTGTGATATGAAAGAATCACAGTCAAGCATGTCTTGCTTGACTGCATTGAATATTCCATCACAAGGGATAACTATTTCAAAGTAAACACTATGAAGGATCTTCTTAAAATGTTAGTTCTCATTTAATTATTGCATTTTAAAAAGAATTAGATTTGTTAACTGATTTGTAAATAGATACATATGTTATTATTGGTAGTTTAGATTAGTAACTGAGATTGTTAGTGGCTGTACCCTCAAAGGGGGTTGAAGTATTGTTAAACTATTGTCCTCCTGAGAGGATACATAAGTCCCAAAATGTTCAAAGTCAATTTAAACTTGCCAGGATTTTTAAACGTAGCATTTTTGTCATTTTAATTTTGGCTAACATTTCTTACAATCGCCAGCAGCTGAAGGGATAGTGTAAATCCAACTAGGGTCCATGCAGGTAGCCAAGGTACCGTAAGTCCCCATGGATCCTAGTATGGTGATCTACCTTCTATTGTTGGCGATCTATAGCCTGATTTTATATTGCATTGTCCCAACAGTGCTATTAGTCTTAAACTTTACACGCTAGTTTTAATTCTCATTGTGATAATCTAGTTGTTTTACTGTCCTTCGTCGACAGGTTTTTACAATGTACATGTGTTTCATTTCAATACCAAATGTTCTCGTCACGATATGGCTGAAATATTGCCGATGTGACGTTAAGTATTAACTCACTCACTCACTCCTACCCTGCTTGCACTCATTGGTGAACCATGTTTTTTCTTATGTGTGGAATTGCAGAGGATTGTGGGATACACTCAAAGGCTATATTATTGAGTTCATCAGAGAAATCCTTTATGGCATCAGGAACATCTATAAAACGTTCAGGTTTAATTTGTTACAACACACAGTTTGATATACATTCCAGTTAGCTTTTTTAAAGTTCCATCTTCAGGACGGGGGAATATCAGATGGGTTCATAGGTTTTAATATTGTTGGAAAATGGTCACTTCCACAGAGGTCATTGTGGACTGACCATTCAAATTCATTCAATAGGTGTGAGTCTGTAATTGATAAATCAAGAGCTGAATACATTCCTGTGCCAGGATGTAAATATGTATTAGAACAGTCATTATATATGCATAAATCATTATCTGAACAGAACTCTTCTAATAGTTTACCTTTAGCATTATTAGTGGTACCACCCCAGAGTGGGTTGTGGCAATTTAAATGTCCCATAATAATATGGGTCTTCTGAAGAGTTGAAGACTGTGAGATTGTACAAGGAACATATATAATGTGAACGCAACATGTAAAGTGAGTTGCACGTCAACCGCCTTGATACCGGTATTTAGTATAACAGGGCTATGGATAATATTCTGTTTGATAAGGATCGAAGATCCTCCAGTGGCCCGATCACTCGGATGTGAAAAATAATGCTATGCATTGAAATGGCGTAGGTCAAATGTATCCATCTGTTTTAAATATGCCCTGATCAGTTCCACTGAACAATATCATCGGAAGACATTATCTTTTGGGGGAATTTATTGGGGATCTACTACATAAGCTATGTGCCCTATAATGGACGTTTTCAGATACGTCCATGGCCTCAAGAGATCCATATTTTTTGTACAGCTGAATTTTATTTTCCGACTCTTTTTCGGCTCTGCCACTTTGTTTTTTTTTAAGCATCAAGCTTTGGTTTATTTTTGCTTTTAACAGTTTACTGAGTATAAGATGACGATTGGAACTGTGAACGTGATTGATAGGGTGACTTATGATCAGAAGATGACTCGGACTGCCTGTTGGACGTACTAGGAAGTGAGTCCGTGGTTTGAGATGATATATGAGGATATAAAGGCTGTGGATTGTCGCCTTTGACCCAAGCAAGTTTGTTTGACAGGTTGTGGATGATGTAGATTCTTTAGGGCTAGACTCAGTTGGTGTGTCGGTTATTGAAACATAACTTTCTGTAAGTTCAGATCTCTTTACAGACTTTCTGGTATCAGAAAAATACTGATGTTTTGTGTAAATTTGATCTGGTTGATCTGCATTTGTTCTTTCCAAATCGGAAACTCTTTTTGAGAAAGATGAATGTTCTTCTAAATAGTTGGTGCATTTTTAAAGGTACTTGTACAATCTTTAGTTGTGTGTGTCTTCTCACCACAGTGAGCACACACAACGGACAAAGTGCAAGTATTAACACTATGGCCATACTTCTGGCATTTTAAGCATCTGAGCGGATTAGGAATGTAGGTGTCAACATTGATATTGCAGTAACCTGCTTTCAGTGATTCGGGAGCAGTTGGTGACGAAAAGGTAAAAAGATAAGTATTGGTTTTAACAGTTTCATTGTTCTTACGGGTTGAAAAGCGTTTTACGTAGAGTACACCTTGATCTTTCATTTCAGTCATGATGTCAAGTTCTGACATGCCAGAAAACAATCGACCACGATCTCAGATGATACCATTGCTTGTGTTTAATGTCCTGTGAGCAGAGACAGCGACAGGAATGCCGACGAAAGATTCAGTGCTCATCAGATTGGCTAATTGCTGCCGTTTCCGACACTCAACCAGCAGCGCACCTGAACGTAACCGTTTAATGTTCTTAACTTCCCTGGCGATACCTTGAATACCCTTTGAAACTGCGAAAGGGTTCAACTTTAATGGTGTTTTGTCGACAGTTTCAATCAAAAGAAAGCGTGGCCAAAAGTCAATTGATTTGGACGGTCTAAGGTCATCATCATAGGGATCATTTTCAAGAGGACGTTTGCTGCTTTTTATGGGGGTTTAATAGCCATGTTTAGTGTAGAGATTTCATCATTCGAGCTCCCCACCCACCAAAAGGACAATGCTAAAGAGAAAGCAGATCTCCGACTTGCAGCACCAAGGTAACACGGATGATATACTCCAGCAGAAAAAATAAGAGATTAATGATTCCACCAGATTGGCCCATGAGCCACCGCCCTCTGGGCATACGACTCTATGCAAAAACATATACTGAGTCAAAAAAAGAAACTTCAAATTCTTTCTTCAGGGCACTATAAAAGAACAAGAGATGGTAAGATGGTTAAATTGTTATTATTTCATTGCTGAGATCTGTGTGATGTACTCGATACACTGACAGTGCCATAATCAGTTCCATTAGGCTACACCGGCGTTCCAAAACATGGGTATACAGAATGTCAAGTCACAAGAATAAAAATGCGAAATTTCTCAGTTCAATATCGTGTATGGCCGCCCCGCGCATTCACCACTGCCAAACACCGCCTCCTCATCGACTGCCTGACGCTTTCGAACATGGGTTGGGGATTCTGCGCAATTGCTCTTGCAAGGCAGCGCCAAGTTCCTGCAAATTCTGAGCTTGGTTCCTAAGACCACGAAGCCTTCTCCCAAGTACATCCCAAACGTGCTCTATTGGATTAAGGTCAGGGGACGTCGATGGCCAGTCCATTACGTTGATTCCAGCGTTTTGAAGGAAATTTCTTGTCAAAATCGCGGTATGGGGCCGAGCATTATCATGCTGGAACTGTAGACCTGGGCCATGAGCCGCCATGAAAGGAACGAGTTCAGGGATGAGCACCTGGTCGCGGTAAGCAGCGAGCTGTGAGGTTTCCACGGATGACCAGAAGTCGGGAACGGTTGTTCCCACAGAAAGCACCCCACACCATGCAACTTCCGCCCCCGAATCTGTCGACTTCCTGTACACAACATTGGGCATACCGTTCACGACGTCTTCTCCAGACTCTATGCCTACCGTCCGCGAATCTGAGGGTAAACATGGATTCATCGCTAAAGACGACTCGATTCCAGTCGCTCAGGGTCCATCGGAGGTGACGTTGGGCCCACAGCAGACGTTGACGTTGATGAAACGGCGTCAATATTGGCCCACGATATAGACGTCGAGAATTGAGATTGGCAGCCTGCAACCGATTTCGAATGGTCTGTGAGGACGGTCAACCTCTAAACATCTCAGCCTCGGTTCGTGTAACCGGCAGAAATCTGTCACGTATGTGACGTAGGACGATTTGACGGTCTTCTGCTCGTGACGTCACACGTGGACAACCCGACCTTGGGCGATCAGAAGTGGTGCCAGTTTGTTGTAGCCGATCTCGCAAGTCGAGTACACAGTACGACGGCTGCATCCCATTGCTCTTGCGACGTCAATAACTGATCTTCCCGCTTGCAACATGCCAACGGCACGTTCACGTTGCACATTAGAACTGTGGTTTAAAAGAGTGTGTTTTCAATTCTTGAGGCCAATGCGTTACCCTGCACCCAGGCACCCAGGTGGCTCTTCATGGGTGCCTGTACTGTTTCCAATATATTCTGATTTCAGACATTATAACGGCTAAAACCAAACACTAACAACTGTGTGATGGAAGTCAATTATCAAAATTTATGGTCTTCAGTGATTTATCGACCTTCTGGAAAACCTTCAAAATCAAGAAAGACTACCAATGCACGTGTATGGGAGCTACTGCGTTGTCCATGCGTTGTGTTAAGGGGTGATGATTAAGAGAAATGGTGGTGTGTTCATAAGGAGAGTGTCTTTGAAAAGTTTGTTAACTATACCATTATACGCAGCAGCAAAAAAGACGTCAGTACGAATTCAAAATTAGGTAGGCATTGTTATCAACTCATGACAGAAATGGACATAATAAGCGGATCAAAAACATTTTTTTGTGTACAATATGTTGACACATCAATGAATAACTCAGCACAATTTAAAGACATTAGGTGAGCGTTTGCAGTCCATTCAAACCCTTGACTTCAGTATCTAGTGTGACCACCACAAGCGGCAATAACTGCAGCACAGCGTCTACGCATGGAGTGCACCAATCGATTAATTGGCACCTTGAACCACACTCTGAGAATAGCCTGGCGCAATAAATCGGCTGTGTTCGGCCTTGGTATGACATTATTGAATCTCCTCTGAATTTCACCCCAAAGATCTTCAAATGGGTTTAAATCAGGATTAAGGCTAGCCACTGCATAATGTCGACGCTGTTCTGCTGTAGGAAGTCCCGTGTAGCTCTGGCAGTATGGGCCCGGGCGTTATCATGCTGGAAAATGTTGGTTCTCTGGTTCAGGCCTATTCCACCCCATACCATGATGCTTACACCTCCCCATGATACTCTTTCGATAACACATTGGTCTGAGTATCGCTGGCCACGACTTCGCCATATTCTTGTTCTGCCATCTGCAGTTGATACGGAGTTCCGACTCTCATCTGTGAACAGAACAATTCTCCATTGCCTGTATTGCCTTTATCGCCTGTTTTGGTGTTGTAGGGCAAACTGTAGACGTTCACGCCGATGACGAGGGGTGA